TGTGCTGCAATTAAACAAGCCAAGCGGTTAAAGCCTCTTTGGTATGGAGGACGATGGTTGAAGTATAAATATGGGGAGGCCTGGCAGATTGACTATATCACACTGCCACCAACCCGCCAAGGCAAGCGCCATGTGCTTACCATGGTGGAAGCAACCACCGGGTGGCTGGAAACATACGCTGTGCCCCATGCCACTGCCCGGAACACCATCCTGGGCCTTGAGAAACAGATTTTGTGGCGACACGGCACCCCAGAGAGAATTGAGTCAGACAATGGGACTCATTTCCGGAATAACCTTATAGATATTTGGGCCAAAGAGCATGGCATTGAGTGGGTATATCACATCCCCTACCATGCACCAGCCTCTGGGAAAATCGAACGGTACAATGGGCTGTTAAAAACTACACTGAGAGCGATGGGTGGGGGAACTTTCAAGCATTGGGATACACATTTACCAAAGGCCACCTGGTTGGTCAACACCAGAGGATCTGCCAACAGGGCTGGCCCAGCCCAGTCAGAACTTTTACATATTGTAGAGGGGGACAGAGTTCCCGTGGTGCATATGAAGAATTTGCTGGGGAAGACAGTCTGGGTTATTCCTGCTTCAGGTAAAGGCAAACCCACTCGTGGGATTGCTTTTGCTCAGGGACCTGGATATACTTGGTGGGTAATGCGGGAAGATGGGGAAGTCCGATGTATACCTCAAGGGGATTTGATATTAGGGGAAAACAGCCAGTGAACTCAATTGTATGCTGTTGCCTGCTGTGTAATGCTTTTATAGCCCATCAACTAGATGTCTCCAGGTCACCAGCGACTGGCCCTGACTTCCCTCCAGCCATCATCCCAACAGAGAATGAACTTGGAACATCATGGACCGAATGGACTCGGCAGCATTATAGGGATTGGTCCATGCACTAAGAAAATGATTTTTTTTCCTCTTGGTCTGTATGTATATGGATGTATATATGTGGGAGAGCGATGGTGTATTGAAAATGTGGGATCTGAGCACGACGTGAATGGTATGGAATAAGGGGTGGATAATGTCCTGGGTTCAGCAGTAGCAGTCATGTTTTTTCCTTTGTGTTAACTGGTGCAGTGCTGTGTTTTGACTTCTAGTTTTGAGAACAGCGTTGGTGAAGCCGATGTTTTCGGTTGTTGCTAAGTGATGTTTACCCTGACCAAGGACTTTGTGAGGCTCATGCTCTGCCAGGGAGGAGGGGAAGCTGTGAGGAAGCAGAGACGGGGCGCCTGACCCGGGCTAGCCGGGGAGGTATTCCATACCACAGCACGTCATGCCCGGGGTGGGGGGTAACTGGGAGTTGCCCGGAAGGACAGGGGCTTCCGGGTGGAACTCGTTTTCTTGGCCGGTGGTATCGTATTCTCTTCCCTTGTTATTTTCCCTTATCATTGTTTTAGCTGATAGTAGCGGTGGTGATTTGTTGCTGGACTGTTCTTGTCTCAACCCGTAGGAGTTGCACTCTCTCGATCCTCCTCCCCGTTCCTCCGGGAGCGGGGAAGGGGAGAGCCCCGGTGCAGGGAGGGGGGGGAGACGAACACGGACCTTGATTGTTGTCAGCTTGGCACCACTCACTGGGAGTGAGTGAACAAGTTACCTGACTGGGTTTAAACCACGACACCCCCATTTTCAAGAAGGGGAAAATGGAAGACCCAGGGAACTATAGACCAGTCAGTCTCACCTCTGTGCCTGGCAAAATCTTGGAGCAGATTCTCCTGGTGGGCCTGCTAAGGCACATGAAAAAAACCAAGGTGGTTGGTGACAGCCAGCATGGCTTCACTAAGGGTAAATCCTGCCTGAACAATTTGGTGGCCTTCTATGATAGGGCTACAGAACTGATGGACAGGGGTAGAGCAGTTGACATCATCTACCTGGACTTGTGCATAGCGTTCCACACTGTCCCCCATGACATTCTTGTCTCTAAATTGGAGAGACATTAATTTGATAGATGGATGACTCAGTGGAAAATGAACTGGCTGGATGGCCACACACAAAGAGTTGTGGTAAATGGCTCAATGTCCAGCTGGAGACCAGTAACAAGTGGTTTCCCTCAGGGATCGGTGTTGGGGCCAGTCTTGTTCAACATCTTTGTCGATTACAGGGACAGTGGGATTGAGTGCACCCTCAGCAAGTTTGCTCCCCGCTCCTGGAGGGATGGGGAGGAGAATCAAAGAATGTAAATCCCACGGGTTGACATAAGAACAGTCCAATAATTAAGGTATAACACAAAACCACTAGTCCTGCCACCAATAATAATGATAAGGGAAATAAAAATGGAAGAGAATATGAAACTAAAAAGGGAAAAGGAAAAGAAAACATTAAACCCAAGTGATGCACAATACAATTGTCACCACCTACTGACCAATACTCAGCCTGACCCAAGCAGCAATCTGGGCCTTCTGGGTAACTCTCCCCAGTTTATATACTGGGCCTGACCTGCTGTGGTATGGAGTACCCCTTCGGCTAGTTTGGTTCAGGTGTCCTGTCTCTGCTTCCTCAAGGACTGAAAAGTCCTTGATTGAAATAAGCATTTCTTAGCAACAACTAAAAACTTCAGTGTTTATCAACATTGTTCTCAGGTGTTCAAGGCCAGGTTGGATGGTGTCTTGGGTGACAGGGTTTAGTGCGAGGTGTCCCTGCCCATGGCAGGGGGTTAGAACTAGATGATCCTTTCCAACTGTAACTATTCTATGATTCTAATAACAAAAGTGAGGGAGCAGAAGCCACATGCTTCTTTGTAAGATTAAGATAAATACTATTTCATGCTAATACCAGCAACTTTCTGTGGAGGTTGACTAAGAGAAAGGACTGGAAGACCACAGCCTGCAAGACTTGGTTTCTTTCCCCTTCATCTACTAATAGATGCAGGAATATTACTCCCATCTATGAAGGGAGAAGATAGATACTCTTAATCATCCCTCCCAGACTGTTGTTTGTTTTCTATTCGTTTGTTGCAGGCTTGTCTGTACACAGTCAGCATAACACCATTGTAAGAAAGAACTAATTCCTCAGGGACTTCATACCTTAGGGGAAACTATGTTGGGGAAAACTTAATCTAACTTACTTTTTCCTTTGCAAAGCATAACTTGGGATCCCTACTGCCAAAAAGCATTATTTGAAACAAGAAGATTTCAAACGACATAAGGAGAAGACTTTTCATCATGAAGACAGTAAAGCAATGGACCAGACTGCCCAAAGAGGCTGTGCATTCCCCATCCTTGGAAGACTTCAGACCTGATGGGATAAAGCCCTGAGCAATCTGGTTTGACCTCAGAGCTGACCTTGCTTGAGCAGAAAAATGGGCTAGACACCTCCCAAGCTCCTTTCCAGCCTCAGTTATCATATGATCCAGGGAACACTTGGCATCTTTTCCATAGGAATTGGAACAGACACAACATTTTGTGTAGCCCAGTACTCTATCTTCATTCTTGGCAGTCCTGATAACAGCTCTCCCCCTCCACACCCTATAGTTTGCCAGGCCTTGCACTAAAGCAGTGTTGAGCTTCCCTTCTCAAAGTAGGACTTCAGTCATTTAAAAAAAAAAAAGAAATTTTACATTTTAAAGCTGTCTGCCACAGACTATTTATCGGACATGGAGAATGATTTGTTTCTGTTTTCCTGGGTTTTAGCTTGCTGAGAGCTGAGTCACCAAGTAATCAACAGATTAATGTAATCTGTTCAAAAGCCATCACCATTAGTTCTTGTCAAGTTCACAAGCACTCCATTACGGTATCATCTCTATGTTTGAGATGGAAAAGTCTCCAGGATTTATAGTTCTTGTGGGAAAAATCCCTAGATAAAAAGAAATCTTTGTGACTGGGAGAAATAAGGTACCTTTTCATACAGTAACACCACAGCAGGATTTTGGCATCCTTTCTAGTGAATGCTTTTATCATCAACCCTCAGATAAGGAGTTTGGGGTATGTCATACATCTGTCATTTGATTGCTACCTAAAAATAGTCATGCCTAACTCAGTGGCATATAGGACTTAGCCTTTACCAGGTCTTTAATCTGAAATTATTTTATTTCCAATTGAACCAAGTAATTTTACTTTCTCTGGGATGGAAGCATGCAAAAAGGGTGGTCTTGACTTCTCTAGAGCTCTGACTTTCTCTGGGATGTCAGCATGCAGAAAGGGTGGTCTTGACTTCTCTAGAGTTCTGACTTTCTCTGTGTGGGCTTGGTCTGAGCCAGAAATGCAAAAAGGAAAGGCAGAGGCTGGCAGGGGCACCTCGCAGAGGAGCCATTGTTTAAAAATAGGGTGCTGGTTAAAATAATAACAGAGTGGCAACTGTAAAAGGTCAGGCTGGCCTAGATGTGTGGCATGAGGAGACTGCTAGACTTCACAGTTATTTTGATAAGATACATGCTAACACTGCTGCCCAAGGTCCTGTCCATACAAACCTCACTGAAGTAATACATCCATCCCCTTGTTTGCAAGTGAAATTGCTGTTGAGGGTATGTAAGAGCCAGTCCAGCCTCCCAAAAAGTCAAGTTAATTCTAAAAGCTTTCCTGCATGAGCAGGTTGATGGAAGGGATCTGAACAGCATCAAGACTTCTCCCTGAGACACTTCTCCTTGCAGCCTGTGGATCCATCATGTGCACAGTAGACAGGACACACATTCTCCCTGTTTCCCCAAGTCTGTCAGTACCTCTCTCTAGGCTGTCCCTAGGTAACAGAATCGTTTTGTACTGGCCTGGCTAGTACCAGGGCACGAGAGATTGTGGCTGTTGTGACACAGAGGTCCCCAGGGCTACACTTCCTAGCATAGGTGTACAAACGGCATGTCATATGCAATTGTGCCTGTGCCTCTGTTGGTTGCAAAACCTGCATGTGCAATAGGCGTACAACAGTGAGGTAGGATCTTCCCCCCTCTCTCCTTTTGCCTCCAAGGTATTCAGATTGTGCAAATGCCTCTTGTTTGTGCTCAAGTCTCCAGGTGCTCAGCTCTCTGTACCCAAGCAGTGGTGATTTTAACTTACCCGTCGCTCCTTATCACCATATTCAATGCCCAAGGTATCCATGGCACGTACAATTGCTGCCAGTGACTGTATAGTGTTGCTGTAGACCACTGGCTTGTACTGCTTCACGTCTTCTCCAGAGAAGCCATCCTCATGGATGATCCTGAAGAAAATGCAAAGGACAAAAACCTCTTGAGAATGTCATTTCAATGGGGGAGACATTTAAAAGAGAGCTGTGTTCTTTTGAAGAGCACATCTGCCAGCTCAATTCACTTAATTCAGTCATCATTTCTTTTTAAACCTTTCTGGTTGTTCACCAGTCGTGTGTCTGAGGCCAGTGCCTGAATTTATCACACCTTTTACTCTCTCTCAAGGAGGTGTTGTGCAGGGTCAGTGCATACAGTACCTCCCTCCCAACCAAACTGCAAACACCGGAGCCCGGAGATCCTCATGTTTGCGTGCTCACCAGTCACAGAATGGGGGTGCCAGGTCCTACATTACTTTCCTTGTCACGGTCTGTGGAAATATGTTCAGTGCTTGCAATGACCATCAGATCAGATCTTAACCACTGAAACAAGTGATAGAAAGACACCTGGGCTGCCTTACAAAAAGAACCAGAATTGAAATAGCACTGAACACATGGGGACACAGGCATGAACAGGGGAAGTGACAGCTGTGTAGCACTTAAAAGTATTTACAACCCTTCACGCCTCCTCCCTCCTTCCTTCTACCTTAATAACAGTGCTGGGAGTTTTGTTGCCTCAAGGCATGTTATGATGTTATCCCCCTCCCGAAGTGAGGTGGGAATGAGACCCACATCCTATCAATCAGCTCCGCATGCTGGATGCTCTGTGCATTAGTCTCTATTAAACTCCACAAAAGGAATGATGGAACAAATTCTTGCAGTCCTTTGCTCAGGTTGGAAGACTGACCCTATAATTTCTTCAACCCTAAGTAACTTAAGAACTAAGCAGAACTAATCCCAGTGTGTCTAGAAGACAACTTGGATTTTCAGATCTAATTGTGTTTGACAATAATTCTTCTCAGTGAAGGCATAAGTTATGATCCTGTCTCTTAAATACCAGCAGGGAGGATGATCTGCTTAGGCAAAACGAAGTCCTTGCTTGCTCATCCACTGGACAAGAGAAGAGTCCTTCGGTAACAGATCTGGTCACTGGTAAAACTCTCATCCTGTCTATAACATGGGGCTTTGTTTCCTTTTTTTCTAAATCAGATGCACACCAACCAAGATCCTGAGCAGCGCTGGCACCCCCCTGGGGAGAGGCAATACTAGCAGGGATCACAGTGAGCTTGCAATACAGTGCTGGGGGGTAGTGGTGGAGAACGGGGCTGGATGCCAACCTCGTGTTGTTAACAGATGACTACATGAAGAACAAGGCTGATTGACTGATTGATAGAAACATGCTGACAAAGACACAGATCTACTCCCACTGATGTGCAGCTCACAAAAGGTTTTCTAACACAAGCGGCCAACTCTCTGCTCTCCCCACCACAACGTTTGCTCACACGTCACTGAACACTGAGCTCCTGGAAGGAGCTGCTCCAACACTCTCCAAGTCCTGGGAAAATATGACTACAAGTAAAGACAGCCCAAGACAGGTAGTAGTTCAAATGAATTGGTGTTCAGGAAATTTTTAAGCTACTGATCTGGTACTGATCAGCACATGACAGATCCACCATGGTGGGGCTGGACCTCAGCCTGGGGCTGATCAAAGCAAGAAGCCAGTTTGCCAAGGTCACTCCTGGTGGGAATACTTGTCCATCTAACCTGAAAACCTCCTGGATCAGAGGCTAGATTCCCCCCTCCTTGCTCCAATCTATTCTGGCACTTTCTTTGTAGCCCTTTCTCCTGGGTTCAGCAGTAGCAGTCATTTTTCTCCTTCTTAGTAGCCGGTGCAGTGCTGTGTTTTTGACTTTCAGCCTGGGAACAGCGCTGATAACACCAATGTTTTTAGTTGTTGCTAAGTAATGTTTTCTCTGACCAAGGACTTTGAGTCTCATGCTCTGCCAGGGAGGAGGGGAAGACAGGAGGAAGCAGAGACAGGACACCTGACCCAAACTAGCCAAAGGGGTATTCCATATGACAGCACGTCATGCCCAGGATGTAGAACTGGGGGAAGTTACCAGGAAGGGCTAGATCACTGATCGGTGGGGCTGGGTATCAGTTGGCAGGTGGTGAGTGGTTGTATTCTCTTCCCTTGTTATTTCCCTTATCATTATTATTACTGGTGGTAGGAGTACTGGTTTTGTGTTATACCTTAGTTACTGGACTGTTCTTATCTCAAGCCGTGGGAGTTACATTCTTTCGATTCTCCTCCCCATCCCTCCAGGAGGGAAAAGGGGAGAAGGGGGGGAGGAGGAAGGGGGGGAGTGAGAGAGCGACTACGTGTTTCTGAGATACTGACTGGACTTAAACCACGACAGTTCTTTTTGGCGCCCAACGTGGGGCTAGAAGGATTGAGATAAAGACAGATCTGACCAGAGTCTGTCTAATCGTATTTGTGATAAGCATTTCTGGTTTTGGATTTATAGTCACTCGTCACAATGATGATTTATTGGCTATCAAAGTTGTTGCTCTTGATCTCAGTTTCAGTATGTCATACCTTACAGTCCGTATTTGCTGTGTTAGTGTTTATCGGCTGCGGGGCTTGGGCTAAGGTTCTTATTTCATTGTACTTTATAGTAATGACTTGTAATACAAAAGAATCATTGATCATGAAACTGATCTGGCTTGCGTTCTCAGTGTGGTCACCACCTCTATACTTTGGGAGGTATATAAGGGAAGTGTATAGCAATTACAAATCTTTTGTTCCCTCCTTGGGTGGTCAATCTATGAAGGAGACATTCCCTTATGTTTCCACCCACTCCCCCCCCACCAGACTATTTACAGCATTATTTGAGAGTTCTGAGGGTTTTGAATGGCCTTTGAATGCCCTCGAGACCTGCCTGCTGATTGTGATTGGGATCACCATGTTGGCACACATACAGAGTGCATTTTACCCACAACCATTTTGTCTGATCTCGAAAGTTAAGCAGAGGTGGGTTTGGGTGTTGTCTAGGGTTAGACGGTGATATAGGAGGACCAAGAGGTATTTCCCCCAAGGCTGGACAGTCATGAGTGGCAGGGTGTGTAGGATAGTATGGGCAAATGTCTAGGCCAGTGGGCCCCTCCAGTGCTTTGGAATTTCTCCAATGAACAAGTGCAAAATCCAGAAAAATTAGTAAAACACTTTAATGCGGTGCATTGTCATCCTGGTCATACCAGAGAGGGACAAATCATGGCAATGTGCTGGGGCTTGGCCTATGCTTACAGAGCCCTGTTCCACACTATCCAGCACCTTCAAAAGGAAAAAAATGTCCCTGGATCTGATGGCCACGCAGCTACTACATCTTCAAGCACAGCAGCAACACCAACCCCAGCAACAAGTGCTTTGGAGGAACTGGAGTGAATTGAAGAGGAGAACAAAGGTCAAGGATGATCATCCCATGAAAGCTGTGGCTTCAGTCTCTGGGGAGCAGGTTCCCAGATGGAGTAGAAGAGCTGATTTTACTTCAGCTCCTGTGATAAAGACTTATCCCTGTCAACAAGCCCTAAGTGATCCATGTGATTATTATTCAAGGGGCCCTGCCTCCAACCAGGTGGAGGTAGGGGACAATCGGATTTACTGGACTGTGTGGATCAGATGGCCTGGCACATCAGTCCCACAGAAGTATAAGGCTCTAGTAGATACCAGTGCACAGTGTACCCTGATACCATCAAGCTGTCAAGGGGTGGAATCCATTTATGTCTATGGAGTGACAGGACGATCCCAAGAGTTGACTGTACTGGATGCTGAAATCAGCCTGACTGGGAGAAAATGGAAAAAGCACCCCATTGTGACTGATCCAGATGATCCATGCATCCTTGGCATAGACTACCTCAGCAGAGGATACTTCAAAGACCCAAAAGGGTACTGTCGTGGTTACCCTGTTGGCAAGTCAGCCATGCAGTCTACTCCCCCCCCCTCCCCTTTTCTTTCCCCCGCTCCCAGAGGGATGGGAAGGAGAACTGAAAGTATGTAGCTCCAAGGGTTGAGATAAGAACAGTTTAATAACTAAGGTATAACACAAATCACTACTGCTACCACCAATAATAATAATCATAAAAGAAATAACAAGGGAAGAGAATACAACACCTCACCACCTGCCGACCGATACCTTGCCCCCACTCGGCAGTGTTCTAGCCCTTCCTGATAACTGCCCCTAGTTCTACATCCTGGGCATGACATGAGGCGGTATGGAATAACTTTTTGGCTAGTTTGTGTCAGGTGTCCTGTCTCTGCTTCCCTCCAGATTCCCCTCCTCCCTGGCAGAGCATGTGTCCTGGGTTCAGCAGTAGCAGTCATGTTTCTTCTTCTTGGTAGCTGGAGCAGTGCTGTGTTTTGACTTTCGTCCTGGGAACAGAACTGATAGAGATGTTTTGGTTTGGCCAAGGACTTTGTGAGGCTCATGCTCTGCCAGGGAGGAGGGGAAGCCGGGAGGAAGCAGAGACAGGACACCTGACCCAAACTGACCAAAGAGGTATTCCATACCACAGCACGTCATGCCCAGGATGTAACTGGGAGTTAGCCGGAAGGGCTGGGAGACTGCAGGGCTGGAGGAGGTATCGGTCGGAGCTTGGTCGGGCTTGGGGGGCGAGTTATCGGTCAGCTGGTGCTGAGGTGTTGTATTCTCTTCCCTTGTTATTTCCTTTATCATTATTATCATTGGTGGTAGCAGTCGTGATTTGTGTTATACCTTAGTTACTAAACTGTTCTTATCTCAACCCGTGGGAGTTGCATTCTTTTCGATTCTCCTCTCTGTCCCTCCGGGAGCAGGGGGAGGGCAAGAAAGGGGGGGAAGTGAGCGAACGAATTACCTGACTGGGTTTAAACCACGACAGCATGAGACTTAGAAAGTCCTTGGTCAGAGTAAACATTACTTAGCAAAAACTAAAAACATCGGTGTTATCATTGCTGTTCCCAGGCCGAAAGTCAAAACCACAGCGCTGCACCAGCTACTAAGAAGGAGAAAAAATGACTGCTACTGCTGAACCCAGGACAGTATCCATCCCTTATTCTGTACCATTCACGTCATGCTTAGATCCCACATTTTCAATATACCATCACTCTTATCTCAGT